TGTGCCTTGGTGTGTTCCTCTTTGGGTCCAACTTCTTTGGGACTCTCTGGGCTTCCTGGACTTTCTAGAAGTCTATTTCCTTTGCCAGATTGGGGAAGTTTTCCTTCATTATTTGTTCAAATAAGTTTTCAATTTTTTGCTGTTGCTCTTCTCCTTCTGGCACCCCTATAATTCAGGTATTGGAATGTTTCAGGTTGTCCCAGAGAATCCTCAACCTCTCTTCATTTTTTTTGGACTCTTGTTTCTTCATTCTGATCCAGCTGGATATTTATTTCTTCCATTTGTTCCAAATTGTTGCTTTGAGTCTGGGTTTTCTTCTTGTCACTGTTGGTTCCCTGAATATGTTGCTTTATTTCATTTTGAGTATCCTTCATTTGTTCTTTCATTTTTCTACGAAGATCAATCAGATCTGTGAGCATTTTGATTACCAGGGCTTTAAATTTTCTGTCAGATAGACTGGTAATCTCCTCATCGTTTAATTCTGAGGTTATGCTCTGTTCTTTCATTTGGGCCATATCTCTTTGTCTTGGCGCACCTGATAAGTTGTAAGGGGCGGGGCCTTAGGTATTCACCCAGGCAGGGCAACCCTTTTTGCTGCACTGCCTGTGGGGGAGGGGCCAGAGAGAGAACAATGCAGCTCTGCCTGCTCATCTCCAGTGTACTTTCTAACAGACTCTAGAGTCAGACTGGAAGTATCTCCCACCGTGGCAACCCCAGCGTCAACTTTGAGTCTCAGATTACCCCTTACCCCTTAAGTCAGTCCCTCCCATGCAGCTCTGCAGAGCTCAGCAGTCAGCCCTGCCCCTCAGCCACCTCGCCTCAGTTTTTCTGAGTCGCCCACGCAGTCCGCCTTACCAGTCTGGTTGTTCTGGTTGATTTTTTCTTTAATTCCTTGGTTGTCAGAGTTCCATGCAGTTTGATTTTTCTGGTGCTTTGGGTTTTTTATTGATTTTAGATTGGTCCTTATCCTCCTTTTGGTTGTGCGAGGAAGCAAAGGGTTTCTGCCAATGCCTCCATCTTGGCTGGAATTCTGAAGATCTCCTTAGCATTTCTCTATACATTTAAGAATCACCTTGTTAATTCCAACAAAAAAAATATACTAGGGTTTCAACTGGGATTCATTAAATCTATAGATTAATTTAGGGAGAACTAATATTTTAGCAAGACTCAGTGTCTCTGGGGAGAAGCATTCTAGGCAGAGTGGAAAGCATGAACAAGGGCAGAGAGACAAGGAACAACATGGCTTTTGGTATATAAGAAGCTATGAAGCAGTTTAGTGAGGTGTAAAGTGCAAGGCATGAAGTGTAGAAGATGAGGCTGAAGAAAGAGGCAGAAGCCAGATTATAGAGGAAGTTGTTGGCATGTCCAAGGGTTTGATCTAAGGCTGATGGATGGTTTTAAAACACAAGTGTGGTGTGGCCTGATGTGCATTCACACAGAGGACTCCATCAGCAAAGGGTCTGAGTAGGTTTGAATGGCTTTCAAAGAGGACAAAAATGTAGACAGGCAGAATAGGAGACCATTCTAGTAGTTAAGGTGAAATATGATGATGATTTGAACAAGGACAATGGTAATCAAGATGGAAAAGAAAGGGATTCATATTTGATTGGTAAAACCAGTAGGATTTGGTGATTGGATATTGTAGGGTTGAAGGGGGTGGTGAGAGCGAGAGTCAAAGATGATTCCTAATTTTCTAATCTATTTATGGGTAGATAGTGGTATAAGGAATATGGGAATAAGAGTAAACTTCAGAGAGATGTTGAGTAGGTTGAGTTTGAGATGCCTATGAGTTTCCCCAGGGAGGTGTCTAACAGATAATTGGATATGTAGGTCTGAAGCCCAGGGAAAGATGTAGGCTGGATATACAGTCCTGTGTCCATGGATAAATCATGCGAACGAATGAGATTACTTAAGGAGTGTGCATAGGTTGAGAGGTATTATGCATCTCTCCCACATATTCCCATTCAGATTTAAAGTTTCCTAGTTCTTTGTCTTCTTTTTCATAAAATTACCTACTGATATCCCCTGGGTTAAAAACCATATAAGAAATACTGTTCTCATTGGCCCTGGCTGGTGTAGCTCAGTGGATTGAGTGCGGGCTGTGAACCAAAGTGTTGCAGGTTCGATTCCCAGTCAGGGTACATGCCTGGGTTGCAGACCATGACCCCCAGCAACTGCACATTGATGTTTCTCTCTCTCTCTCTATCTCCCTCCCTTCCCTCTCTAAAAATAAATAAATAAAATCTTAAAAAAAAGAAATACTGTTCATTGATTTAACATTATATTTGTGACCACAAATTTCAAATGGATATTCAGTACAGCCAGATATACCTTATAAATTTCCACTCTTTCAGATCACGTTTTCAGTTTCTCTTCTTCCTCAGACCTTCTGGTCCCTTGCTGCACTCCACTCTTAGTTAAACTTTACATCATACTTCACTATAAAAAGGGGGAGCAATTTGACTGGTTACCTAATTTTCATATCATCAGGTCAACCAGGTTCTCTGCAACTGCTCTGTCCTCCTTATAACCATAGAAGTGTCCCCATTCCAATCTACAGCCAGCCTCATAACCTGTGCTCTAGATTTCATCCTTTCTCCCTTTCTCACACATAACCCCCTTCCTCTCTATCATCATCCATTTATGATTAAGTATATTTATATATTTTTATATACAAATATATTTTATATTTTATATTTTTATATTTTGTATATTTGTATATTTTTATACAAATATGCCTTAATAGTACCTTCTATAAACAAAACTTCAGTGCCAGAGACTGCTAATGCTCACTGATACACATTTTTTTTTCTTCTTCCTTGGCACACAGCTAAATTACATTTCTCAAGTTATATTTTTCAGCCCGCTTGTGGAGGCCATAAGGAAAGTAGATTGTGACCAGAAGTAAAGTATTCCACTCTCAGACCTAGACCATAAAAATCTATTCATGATTCTCTACTCACTTTCCTTTTCCAAGGTGACTTTGATGGCTACATGTTGGAGCTGCAAAATTGTAGGAACCTGGGTCCCTGGGTTATTCTTGGAAGAAAGACACTCAACTCATACTGGACTGCAAGTCAAATGATAAATAAACTTTAATTATGTTAACCTGTTGACATTGCAGTTGTCAGTGATAGTCCTTAGCCTAATATAACTAACTCCACACCCTCCTCAAGCTATTGCCCCATTTGTTTCCTTTAACATTCTTTGAAGAGTTGTCAAAACTCATGGTTTCCATCTTTCTCGTCTCAACCTCCTTCATTTCAGCTTCCTCCCCACCATTCCACTGACATGCCTCTTATTAAGATCATTAATAACCTTAATTTTGCCAAATCCAATGTCATTTCTTCATTCTCATCTTTTTCAAGCATCATTTAACACAGCTGACCACTTTCATTCTTTTTGAAACACTCCCTGGGACACCATAGTCTATCGGTTTTCCTTCCACTTCATTGGCAGCTCCTTTTTCTCTACCAGTTCCCTAGGACTTGGAGTATCCTAGGGCTCTTTTTAAATTTTGTGTCTCTCTCTGCACTCTTTAGTGGAAAGCTGCTAACTCCCAAATCTTTATTTCCAGCCCAGTCCTCTCCCATTTGCTTTAGTTCTGCACATTCGACTGCCTCCTGGGATATCTAACAGCCATCTGTAATATAACATGTCCAAAACATAACTCCTGATTTTCCCTCTCAAACCTTTTCACCTTTCTCTTCCTTTTTACCTGGTTTGCTCACACCAAATATATGGGAGTTTCCAGTTCCTGCCCCCCCCTTTTCCCACCTACATCCAATCTACTGCTAAGTATTTCTGGCTCCATCACCAAAATATCTTACTAAATCTGACTCCTTTTCACCATTTCCTCTGCAAAAAATGCTAGTTGAAAGCACTTTTACTTCTCAGACTACTTACTCCAACAATCTAATTGCTTTGCCTTCACCCTTGCCTCAGGTGTATGCTAATAGTTTAACACATCACCCAGAGTAAACATCTCAAAATATAATAAGCCAATGAAACACTTAAACTCTCAATAGCTTTCTGTGTGAAGCTGGAAAAAAAATCCATCCTCCTCACCAAGTGAGATTTCTTGTCTTCACCATCTCTCCACTGCATTACAGTATGGTTTAATGCTTATTCAATAGTTTCATTCTTTTCTATTTCTCTCCATTTTATGAAAGGATATTTTGATGCTAGTCGATTTTAGTTGCCCCCCCAACTGGATCCCCCAATTTCAGCACTTGCATGGCAAGCTATTCCCTATTCCCCCTCCTTATTTTAGAAAGCAAGGAACAGTAGAAAGAGCATGGAACTTTGGAATCACACAGCCCTGTGTTTAAACTGTACTGTTCTTTTTACCAGCATTCTGAAGTAGGAACTTACCTTCTCTGAAGTATTACTTAACTTCTTTAAACCCCATCATCTATAAAACGAGGATAACAATACGTTATAAATAAGGTAAATGAACTGACACATATGAGGTTCTTACCACACAAAGGAAACAAAGGTATACTAGATTCCTTCAACACACTACATGTTCTTTCCCATTTACCCTTTCCTCGTTGATACCTCAGTCAAATGCCAAGATAGAGTACACCCTACTAATCTTGAGCACACTGCGTAATGATGCAGCGAGCTCACAGTGCGGACCTTAAGAGTTTTATAAGCTTTATTAAGCAGTAAAGTTAATTGAGCCTCCGCAATTTAGGTATAAAGATGAAAAATAAGACTGCAGGGGTCCCCATATGCAAATACATGAATTATAAACGAATACTGGCATCAGCCGCTGCCGCACTTCCCCTGCTGGGCGCACTGTGACCCAAGCCGTGCTCCGCCGACGGTGTGGGGGCGGGTATTTGCATATGCAAAATCCGGAAGAGAGGGGAACCACCCAACGAAAACCCCGGGCTTTACTATCCTCTAGACTGGGAGGGCCGGCCCCACTTTGCCGCCTGCCCCGCCCCCAAGGGCTGTCGGGCAGCCAGCCCTCTTGTCGCCACTGCACCCTCCTACTCGCTCCTGAACTTTAAACCGTGCTCCGAAGAACAACCTGGAGGAGGGGGATTTCTCAGGAGCCAGCGTCTTTCGCACGCTCAGGACCGTCACATGTTGGCTCCCAGTGTTCCCTGCCATCCAGAAGATGCTGCGCACCAGCTACCCAGACTTGCTGCGAGCCCACTGCAGCTCCCGGGGTGGTAGCGTGGGCGGGGCACAGGAGGGGCGGAGCGTGGGCCGCTGAAAGCAGATGCGCGCGAGGACACCCAGTCCCTGCGCCCCCGGAGAAGGCAGTGGCAAGAGTCTACGTCAGCGGTGGGAAATCCCCTTACCGCGCTGCGCTGGTGGGGTCTGCGTTGGGCTCCTTTGGCGCTCCGCCCCCTTTCCCTGGTTCCTGTACTCAGGACGGACGACTCCGACTCCGGGAGATTTGTAGCGCGAGAACTAAGAGGGTGGAAAGGTGTGAGCGGCAAAGCAGAGGAGGGCGAGAAGGAGGAGGTGGCCCCGGGGGGGTGGTGGTCTGACGGACCCAGGAGTCCTGCTGGCAGAAGACTGGCTGGCGGGCTGGCTGGCTGCAGCAGCCTCCGGTCCGGACACGCAGAGCGGAGAGGAGCCATGGCCTCTGGTGAGTGTTCCCGGCGCCGCGGTCCAGTCCTGGACTTGGGGGGAAAGGAGCTCGTCCTGGCGTCTTGCTGCTCAATTTCGGGGTCTCAGTTCTGATTGTGGGGCATTCTGTCTTTAAAATTGCCTGATCTGGCAAATTGTCAACTTCGTAAAAAGTGGCTTGCGTACGAAATCAAAGCCACACTCTGTAATCATTATTATAACCGGAAATTTAGAAATTCCCAGCTATGGGGTTTTGGGATTAGGGAAGTAATAATCTACATAAAGGGAGGCGAGGAGTTCTTGTATTGAAAATTGGTTTATGTTGAAATGGTGGTTTTCTGTTTTAGACTAGGAATGAGGAACCTCAGACTTCAGGAGAGCTCTGCTTCTTTAGTTTAATTTCATCAAGTGCTAAGTGGTGATTGCTGTTGTGCTGACAGTGGTACAGAATGTGTGCCTTTAAAAGTCACGAGTGGTAGTTTAACAGAGTTTAAAAGAAAATGTTCCTTCACCAAAGTAGGTAATTTTTACTGTACCTTATAGGTTACGGACAAGTTGAGTTTTGTTTTATTGTTTCTTTTTTCCTTTGTTGGAAAGAAGGGAAAAAGAGGACTTTTAGAATATCCCTGCCTTAAAATATGGGTAGAAATAAAAACAACTTTGTTTCACTTATGAAAATGTTCAGTTTGAGTTAATAAATGCGTGAGTTTCTTGAGAGAAAACGAGTTTACCAAGACAGCTTAGAGGGCAAGGGAGGGAGTCTCAAATTTACAGCCATGGTTTATTTTAAGTTAGCCTGTAACCGAAGGGAAGTAAATCGAGCAGACTCTGTTCCAGTTGTATCTTTTCAGGATTCTGGTGCGGTTCCTAGGGGCGCGTTCCCGACTGAGGGAGCGGCGTGAGCAAAGGCAGGGAGGCTTCAAGGTCTATGGTCAACGTTTTACAAGCAGGCTAAAGAGGGGTTCTTGTTTATGCTTCACCCTCCTTCCCAGCCCCTGGGACAGTGACCCGCAGTAGAAGGCTGATGTCTGGCAGAGAAGAGGAAGTTCAAAGCTTAGAGGACTTTTTAAAGGGGTGGAGAAGAACAATACCATCCTTAGCTGCTGCCGTAGACTGAAAAGGAAATTGGGGTGATGACATTTGATTTCAGTTTGTGGTTTTCATATGAGAATACAAGTAGAATTTAAACTACTTCAACTTTCTCTCTATCCACTTCGCTGACCCCCAAACTTTCAGATAATCTTGAAAATTGATAAATTCAGAGCGCGTTTAGATTAAAAGTGCAAAGATGACTTGAAATAGGTTAATTTATTGGTGATAAGGTCTTGTATGAAAGTAGAGAATGATGAGCATATAACTTTAAATAAGGTCAGCCTTCTGGCAATTGAACCAAACTTTATTAGTATGTAGTATGGATGTAATACTTCTGATTCTTTAAAAACAGAGAGAAAAGAATTAACCATTTATAGAGTATTGTAAGACCTACATCATTTAAAAATGTGACGCAGTTTAAACTTGCTTAATGACACTATTTTTTGTGCTATTGTGAGGACTGATTCTCTGATTCGAAGGGGGAAAATTTTTAAGGAATGAGAAGTTGTGAATTAACACAAGTTATTTAAATTGTAATTGTTTTTCGAAAACTAAGCAAATTTTTAAAATGGAGTCTGGATGTACTTTCCTCGATCAGTTGTAAAGACCCTATACAAAAATAGTCAATAAATCGTAAATTCCCATCCTGTTTTCAAACAGTAATTCAGCTGAGTCACAGAAAACAAAGTGTACTAAATTAGTTTATCATTGTCTAGTTTAGATTCTGTTTGTAGTAAGGTAGTAGTAAAACCTCAAAAGGTATTTTTATTGATTACCAAACCTTTAAGACCATTTCTTCATTTCTCCCGGATGTCAACTACATAGGTATGTGTAGTTGAATATGTGATCTGTATAACATAAGAAGTAACATCATAATCTCATAAGCAAATTATATAAGTACCATTAGTTACTGGAACTTTTATTATATATATTTCTAAATTTTGTTCAGGTAAATTAATCAGATTATTTAGAATTTTACAGCTTGCATTCTATTAAGTTGTCTCTTTACATTACGCCTTGATTTCAGTCTTTTGACGTGATTCATTAGAATAGGCCTTGTGAAAAAAATATTCCTATATGCATTAGACCATCATTACACTTGTATATTTAAATAAAATTAGCTATTTTAGGCCTGACTTTAAAGTTTTTCATTGTTCTAATAAAAAGTATAAAATGTTCTTATGTGCACATAGCTCTGTTTATTAATAAATAGTACTATCTTTGGTATAATACATGTTACAATTTAGATAATTTATTTTTATTACTAGTTTTCTTTAGTATAGTTCTGCTATGTCACATAGGAAGGACCTGCAGAAATTGTTTCTGTAAACCACACACTACTTCCCAACTCTGTCTATAGTGTGACTATCAAGAAAACTATTTCTTGTGAGTAACAGGGTGGAAAATATAAATGTGACACAACTTAAATTTTTAAGTTAAGTAGAGCTGCAAGCTGGAATTGATAGCTAAAACATATGACATCTATTTTAAAATAAAAGACTACATACAAGTATGAAGGCTATTTCAGAAATGTAACACATGAAAGTGTAGAAATAACAGTAGTATAAAGGAATGAGGATGATATATGATAGACATAAAGGGAATGAGTGAATGAAATGACTGGTGAGGAATCATTGGAATAATTTTTGGGAACACCTTGGGTGAGTGTATTGTAGTATCTCAAATACAATTTAAGGAACTCAGCAGTCCTTTTGTTCCATCCTTCTCTCATCTGTTCTCTGCAAGTGACTGGGATTGTAGGCACATGATCTATGTAATTGCATAGTGTATACTTTGTTTTTATACCAAAGGAAATTCTTTGTTGTAAACAAGGTATAAAGTACAATAAAAGAAGTATGCAAATTGTAAATCACAAGGATTTCTTTTAACTTATTAAAAGAAAACATTTTTGGGTTCCAAGGATCCAAGTTGGATGTCAGAAATCTAAGTACCATATAGAAAAAAGTGTTAAATAGGAAGATATAGGGTCATTTTTCATTATATATTTTAAACAATTTACTTTTGTTTTAACACTGTATATAATTCACTATACAACAGAATATTAGGGATACTGTTAACAAAAGTAAATGTTCTAGTAATTTTTCTCCCTATCTACTGTATTTTGCCATGTATAAATTTTTAAGGGAAAAATAAGGATGTGCATCATACGTGGGCATAATAATGGGCATAATAATCCCATGTATAATGCACACAAAACCATGGGTGCGCATTACATACAGCAAAATACAGTAGTTTCACATACCCCCACAAAACCTCCTACAAAATAGCAGAAAAATATTTGTCCATTTGTAAATAATGATCATTAACATTGCATGAGATATACTAAAAAATTATTTTAAATTCACACGTAAATGTACATCTTGTAATTTTTATTTTTAATCTGTTAATCAAGAGATCATTTGGTCCTCCTATCTATTTTTTTCTTAATTTTATTTTAATCATTGTTCAAGTACAGTTTTCTCCCTTTTACTCCCAATCCAGCCCACACTCCCAACCCTCCCCACTTCCCTCCCATTACCACCCTCCCCCTAGTTTTTGTCCATGTGTCCTTTAAATTTGTTCCCGTGAACCCTTCCCATTGTCCCCTGAAATTCCCTCTTCTCTCCCCTGTGGTCACTGTCAGCCTGTCCTCTATTTCAGTGTCTTTGGTTATATTTTGCTTGTTTCTTTGTTTTGTTGTTTAGGTTCCTGTTAAAGGTGAGATCATATCAAAATTAAAAGAGAACCAACTGTATGGGAAAACATATTTGCCAATGATACCTCAGACAAGGGTTTAATCTCCAAAATATATAAAGAACTTACACAACTCCACTCTAAGAAGACAAGGAATCCAATTAAAAAATGGGCAAAGGACTTGAGCAGACACTTCTCCAAGGAGGACATACAGAAAATCCAAAGACACATGAAACAATGTTCAATATCGCTAGCTATCAGAGAGATGCAAATTAAAACCACAATGAGATACCACTTCTATTTTTTTTTAAGATTTTATTTTATTTATTTTTAGAGAGGGAAGGGAGGGAGATAGAGAGAGAGAGAAACATCAATGTGTGGTTGCTGGGGGTCATGGCCTGCAACCCAGGCATGTACCCTGACTGGGAATCGAACCTGTGACACTTTGGTTCGCAGCCCGCGCTCAATCCACTGAGCTACACCAGCCAGGGCCTCCTATCTATTTTTAATATAGTTAAATACCTGAAAAATCTAGGATGGATTTTAAATATTTCTCTACTTTTTCACCCTTGAAGTGAAAGTTTTATTGAACACTTATTTTTTTATCCCCACAGCAATGGATTCTCTAGCAGTAGAATCTCTATTGCCAAAATCTCTTACATCTTTTAATTACCTTGTGATGCAGACATCAGTCAAATACTTATCTGAAAATTTCCTTACTTGTATTCTTATGACCGAATTGAGAATCTGCCTGATATATTGGAATAAACTAGACTTTAGTCTATGATGGACCTGAATTGTTTCTTTTTCTTTTTTTTTGTAAGACTTTTTATTTATTTATTTTTAGACAGAGGAAGGGGGAGAAAGGGAAGAAACATCAATGTGTGGTTGCTTCTCGTACACACTCAACTGGGGACCTGGCCCACAACCCAAGCATGTGCCCTGACTGGGAATTGAACCAGTGACCCTTTGGTTCTCAGGCTCAATATATTGAGCCACACCACCCAGGGCAAACTGTTTCTTAGTCTACTTCTCCCACTCTGATATAAAAATGGGAGTAACTACTGCAGAGTCTTGTGAGAAACAAATGAGATAATGTATGCCCATAAGTGTTAGTTTTGTTTTGTAGTGGAGCAATTTTGGGACTCAAAGGTGTAGGAAACAGAAACTACTAGAGACCCTTGGAACTTACTATTTAAGTGTCCTGATGATTCTAAAATTTTGTGAAACCAC